CACCGCGGGCAGAGCATCCGCTGCCCGCGCCTTGCTCCCGTCCTCCCTTTCCCGGGATGAGAGGCCGTGCCGCAGCCGAGCACGGCCTGGCACGGGGCGCTCTGCCAGCAGCCTGGCCGGCAGGCAGACCCAAAAGGCGTCAGAATTTTAAGTCCGTATGGGGATCTGTGCGGAGCAATCCACGTTGGAGGGGAATGGCTCAGAGACCTGCCCCTCCACCTTAAGCAAAGCACTTCCCAGGGCCACAAATGCACGTTTGACCGTCTAAGCGAGGCAGGAAGAGCCCACCTATGTCCACATTCAGGCCACGGCCCTGTGCCTGAACCAGCGAGCGGGATGGTTGTAGCATAATGCCTTCATCTTCTGCCACCTTGGGGCATCTCTCCTAGGATGCTCTCCGTGCTTGGGTACGGAGAACACTGGAGTCTCCCATGGATGCTCATACACACCCGTGTGTGCTGCCCACAGAAGATGCTCCGGTCTCACCCCGAGCTATGGCGCGGCATACAGCTTTCCGGGAGCGTGCCTTCCCGGTCCGCTCGTGATTAATTTCAGGCCTTGGTTCCTGCAGGGAGAGACAAGGAAGACCTGGTTGTCCCAACGTCGGGGGGTAGGTACGACGTGCATCTGAAGAAGAGGGAGCGTGTGGCGGTGTACTGGGAGGAGGAGGTGTCCGAAGTGCGTCGCTGCACCTGGTTTTACAAGGGAGACAAGGACAATAAGTACATTCCCTACTCGGAGACCTTCAGCGAAGAACTGGAGGTAAACACGCCTTTCCTGGTCGCATCCCTCTTGGCGAGAAGCAGCTTGGCTTCTCGTTGTCAAATCCTGGCCCCGCTGTCCCAAACTCCATATGGGCCAACTGGCACCACAGTCACGCCTGAGGACGTGAACTCCAAAGAGGCTTTGGCATGGCGTTTTCGCAGCTGCTTAACGTAACTGTAAGCACTGCCAGTCTCCCTCCTGGCCTGGGCAGCCTCCCCTTCCTCCTGCCCTCCTCGGACACATCACCACCCCTCTCCTACAGTTGCTCTCGGCGTGCTGGGCGGCTCTGGCTTTGCTCGCATCCTCGCTCTAGCAGCTTGGCTCTGGTTTTTCCTGACCCCGTCAGCTCTAACTTCAGTTGGACTCTTCTTGTGCGAAGCGTCCTCGTTGGGCTCAGAGTTTCACCAGAGCCCAGGGAGTTGTGAGCGCGAGGAAGAGAAGTCGTGGCTACGGGGAGCCGACGCACACTTAGAGCCCTCAGCGCTTCTGGCTTTGCTCGCATCCTCGCTCTAGCAGCTTGGCTCTGGTTTTTCCTGACCCCGTCAGCTCTAACTTCAGTTGGACTCTTCTTGTGCGAAGCGTCCTCGTTGGGCTCAGAGTTTCACCAGAGCCCAGGGAGTTGGGAGCGCGAGGAAGAGAAGTCGTGGCTACGGGGAGCCGACGCACACTTAGAGCCCTCAGCGCTGGGCTGCTAATGGCTGGAGGCTTTGCTTGGCAAAGATATATAAATGGAGAGATAGAGATATATGTGTAAAAATATACATTATACAATAATCTGCATTCTGATGTACCCAAAACCGTGGTTCCGAGTTGACGGGGCAGTCTGCTGCTGCAGTGGTGGCTTCTGGGAAGCGCCTGCAGCTCACACTCTGATGACCCTGTTGCCCCTCCAGCTTGACGTCTGGGCGATTCCTCTGCCTCGCGCGCAGCATGGTGATAAGAGTTTGCGTGAAATGGGTGTGGGTGTCCCGAGCGGCTGAGTATTCACGGGAATACCTTCACCTGACTGACAGAGGCTGTTCTTTTCCTCAGGAAGCTTACATGATCGCTGTGACCCTGGATGAGTGGAAGAAGAAACTGGAGTCCCCTAGCAGGGAAATCATTATCTTGCACAACCCAAAGGTGAGGAGGGCTGGGTGTGTTGGCTGGCAGGGACATCCCTTCAGTTCTCGGCAGGGCCTGGCTTTAGCTGCTTCTTTTAACGGTGTCTGCTGAGAAATCAGCTCTGTCCAAGCAGCATTCCCCTCGCCTGCCTGTGCCGGAGCAGGGGGCAGTGCCAGCACAGTCTGCTTCACACCTTGATGGCTCTTTCCAGCAAGCCTTTTGCTCCCGGGGCTTGTACCAGCACTGTTGTTGTGCAGCTCCAGCACTGCTGGAGCGGGTACCAGCCGCTGCCACCTACCCGCCGTTGTACCAAAATTCCTCCTCTGCGTAACCCTGGCGTGCAGCGCAGCTTACTGACGGGCCCTTCTTCTTTACAAGCTGATGGTGCACTACCATCCGGTCGCCAGCTCCGATGACTGGGCTTCAACTCCTACGGAACAAGGTCGACCTCGGACCGTCAAGCGAGGAGTAGAAAACATCGCTGCCGAGATCCCCAATGGTGAGCTCGCTTCTCCCTCCCTGCTACCCATCCAAAGCCATCGGGTCTGTTTCCCGACCCGTTTTCTGAAAAACGCCTGACAGAAGCTTCCACGATCCTTTAAACGAAGGGCACATCTAAATGTTTTGCGCCGAAAGGAACCGAGGGGTTGGCAGAAACCTTCCTAGCAGCAGAGAGCCCGCAGCGCAATGACTGCCGAGGCAGCAGACCTGGGGAGAAGGCAGGTCGCGTCCAGCTCCTGCACCAGGAGCAGAGCTGCTGACAGTCACCCCCGAGGTCTTGGCGTGTGTGTTCGTAAAGGAGGAGTTTCTTTCCGTGGCGGGGACACGCGGGTTTATCCCTTACCTACATGCCTGGCACACGTGCTCTCCCAGTCTGAACCTGTGCGTCAGCTCTGCGCCCCTCCCAGTTGTCCCAGAGCTCCCAGTCAGGCCTCGGCACTTGTCCCCGTGGCGAGGGCAGGCAGTTACTCCTGTCTAACCCCTTCATTTTCCACGCGTGCATACCTTCAGGAGAGGACACACACGAGCTGCTGCGCGTGGGAGGTGGAGAACAAGATGTGCCTCCGCCCGGTGCCTACCCGGGATGCAGCTCCACGGGGCTGGGTGGCTCCGGGGCAGGCCGGGCGCGGGGCAGCTGGACCGATCCCTCCCGGCCGGGTCCTCTCCTCATGCTGAAAGTGCCCCACGGCTGGGTGGGTGTGAACTGTGAGGAGCATCTGCTGCTGCTGAAGTGAGGGTGGTGACAGCGAGGGGGACGAGCCGCATCCCTTTCCTCGCCTGTCCTGTCGATCGGGATCCATCCCAGCTGAATTTAGCAGGATAAACTGTTGAGAAACCTGAGAAATCCCACCACCCTTCGGGCATAAAGCCCAGGCGCTATCTCAGGGGGCTTTTACCTGCTGAGGTGAGGACGGGAGGCTCCACGCTGCTGCAGAGCACGTGCTTTCAGCAGGTTCCCCGTTTAGCGACGTCTGCGCAGGGCCCGTGCTCTGAACTCTTCTCTCCTCCTTAGGCGAGCCGCTGCAAATCGACCACCTGGTCTTCGTGGTGCACGGGATCGGCCCAGCCTGCGACATCCGCTTCAGGAGCATCGTCCAGTGTGGTAGGGGTGGAGCCTGGCCGGGGGGCTCCTTCCACCTGCGGCCTGCCCCTCCGTGGTGG